AATACCGCTCACCTTCGGTCGGTGAAAGGTCCCTGCCCAATGCCACTTACTGGACAGTTGGCTGTGTAAAACCGTTTGTTGTTTCTTTATTGCGCAGTTCTTTGTGCAAATAACTCATTACTGTTGTTCATTGAGCGAATACGAATGTTAAGATTAATTCTCTCGTTAGAGGAAACCTGTGCCCGGTAGTGGGACATGTAGTGAATTAAGATTTAGGTGAAAAAATACGCTGTATATCGACGCTTTTACCAACAGTAATACCACTTATATCATACTTTTTTGAAATAGTACTGCAGAGATCGCATGCACGCTTTCTTCAAGTCTAATAGCCACCAATTCAAATTACGTTTTTCTTTTGTACTGTTACAGATTGACAGCATGTTTGTAGGTAATGCATGAAGTTCACGCATTAACTGCATGCAGTCGATCTCAGCTGCATGGAGTCCGTTTCAATTGCATGCAGTTAATGTGTGAAATCGTTATCAACTTCATGCAGTCGAGGTCTCGGGTAACGTCTTGATATTAACTGTATACAGCTGAAACCGGCTTCATGCAGCCGAGATCGACTGCATGCAGTTAATATGTGAAATCGTAATCAACTTCATGCAGTCATGGTCTCGGCTGCATGAAGTTGATTACGACTTCACGCATTAACTACAAACATGCAGTCAATCAGTTACCAGCCTAATGTAACATACAATATACTAGTTTAAACAACAGTGCATTTTTCGTGTAATAACGCGACATCTGCAGAATGGTAACTTTCTAACTAAGCTTTTATTAGATTTAAAGATCCTACGAACAAAATTAGTCAAAATGTTTTTATTTTTAAATAGGGGAGTTATAAAATTTTACGTGTACTTAATTTGTTTCATTTAGTTCATATTTTTTTTGGGGTTTTATGTGATAAATTCATTTCAGACTTATGATGATCATATGGCTTTATTTACCAAGAGCAGGTTTTTTTTTCAGTATTTAACCTGAGTACTTATTGCCTGTTGTAAGAATATTAGCAACTGATGATATCCAATAGTAATTTTAAATATTATAGAGCTGTGAGATAATTTAAGTGATACCAAGATCGAAGTTGACTGTACTTACATGGTTCAATCTAAACAATTACTTCCTTCTCTATTTTGTTCAAGGTTGAATATTTGTAATATTTAGCTAGTTGAAAGTAATCGAAGACATAGAACTTGGTCTCGAATGGAAAAAATTATATAGATTACTTTTCAAGCACTTTAAGTAAAAGAAAATATCGATATTTTAAAATAATGAGGTGGCTTAACTCGAAGAGTAACGTTTTTATGACAATGTCAATATAAATAAAAAAATGATAACGGAATAAGACTACACTAGACTGTCAAATAGAATGTTGACAATATGAATTTAAAATTCTATTCTAAGATAATAAATGCACACATAATTTAGGAAATGAAAATATTTATTGGAAAAAATTGAAATTAAATAAAATGATTTTTTTTTAAATTTTGTGACAACACAGAAAATTAAAAACATTTAACAGTATAACGTTCATTAAATTAAACTTTAATAAGTAAAAAACTTTTTCCACGTTTACTAAATTCACAAAATTGCAAATTCAACGTCGAATCACTCAACAAACCTGTATTCGTAAGAAATTAAAGCAAATGTAAGAAAAAAATTACAGTCAACAAATTTTTTATTTTCCGATTATACCTATAAAATAAAAGAGTAAAATATCGTCGTCAATACTTTTGAAAAAAAAAAACGCTACATTATTTTCAGGATCTTTCTAATGTTCCGCAAAATGTGCCGATGTGTTTTTGAGAATCAGTTAAAGTTGTTGAAATTTATGCATTTGTTAGTTACTAAAATTACGTAATAACCTTTTCATTCATTCTACCACAACATAATATTCATCAATTGAGTTTTTACACTAAAATTGCTCAAACAGAAATAAACGTTTCCCCATGATTGCGTTTTGAGGATACGAAGAGCAATTAACATGCTTAATAACAAAATACACCTTATATTCTTAACTTTAAAGACGGAATTTTGTAAAAAAAAAAAACATTAATTGCGCAGTCCCTTACCCAAGTTAACAGTTCATTTGGAACGAAATAAGAAAGAGGACTGAAGGTACTTATGTAACCAATTGTACATTGTTCATTTTAATAGGTACAATAAATGTTACAGGCATTAAACTATTAGGGTTAAGAGAACGAGGTTAAGTCAATAGTAAACGTTACTGTTGTGTTTTATTGCCTTCGAGCTTAAAGTGGTAAGTTTTGTGCTATAAACTCTGTAAAGTTGCGCAGGAGCCGCTTTGTAAGAAAGACGTCCCAAAGTTCCAACCCCAGTTCCAAATCAATAATAAGTCTCATGTGATCATACGTGAAAAGTTCTTTTATCATTTCGCATCTTTAAAATGAAAGTGTTTTAACTCAAACTTAAAAAGATTCTTTTTCTTAATTTTTTGATTTAATATACCGAAAAACGAGTTTAAAAATAAGGCTCATAAGGTTGTTAATTTGGACCTGACTCATTAAGATTCTATATGGGTCTCGTGTTGTTTAAAATTTCACATTCATTTTGCGTATTATTATTTGCGTTGAAATTTTGTGTTGGGTCAAAATTCACTAAAAAAAAGTCTCTTTCATTCCAAAGATCCGATTTCAAAGTCAGTAAAATGAGATTAATTTTGTTCGTTAGAATCTTTAAACTGCTTTCCTGAAAAGTTGTAATTTTGCAGATGTAGCCTTTATTACACCAGGGATATGCTTTTATTTATTACATTTACTTCTAATATCGAATCTTTCAAAAAGCCATGCCTTGATAACCTCTGTGACTCAACATTTACACTGCGGTGGCTAGATGTAACGATCCTAGGTTCGATTATAATAATACAACGCACACACTCAACATAGCCCCGCACTAGGGAAAACCCTGTGTCTCGGGTGCCATGGACACACGCATAGACAACCACAAATTACACCCAAACTCGCGAGAGAAATGCACGCCATACAAATATTTCTCCCGGCCCGGGAATCGAACCTGGGACCTCTGCGTGGCAGTCCGGCATGGTAACTGTTCGCCCTCGGAGGCAGTAAAAAATTGCCAGTTGAACCTTTACGCGAAACGTACTTTTTTAAATTAGTCCTGGAATTCTATGTTTTGTTTCTCTGGTACTTATAATACAAGGGATAACCTTGTTTGAGACCAGGTAATGGTGTAGTTATCGGGACTGTCATTATTATCATAAAAATATAATGAGTAAAAGAAATCGTATAGTGAAAGTTCTACTTAAAAATACTTTTATTTTATTTTAAACGGCATTTAAATAGTTATTTTGATGAGTATCTACTCATCTTTTAGACAAAAATATATATTAGAAACTGCTCGTTTAGTTTTGTTTTCTGTAACTTTGTGCTGCATTATAACCGTCTCAACCGTTTTAACGTCCGTAACAACAACAACTCCACAACTGAAAACAGTTCCCGTGACTAGACAATCTAGACGTGGACTTGTTTCAACACGTTACGGCTTTATGAAGCTATTGTCCATTAGATAAGATCAACGAGAGACAACAATCATGAGATCCCGGCTATCAATCGGTCGCCATCTTTGTCTTGCAAATTTCATTGTTATTTTACTATTAATTTTGTAGACATTATGGTTTATTGTTTAATAAAATTGTGTAAGTTATTCGTGGAGGGCTGTGGTCTCTGCCTACCCGAATGGGGAAAAAGGCGACAAGGCTATGGTGTTTATTCGATAATGCTTTTCATTGCCGCTAAATTAGGATTCATAAATAACACGTATTTTTCCAGCCACAACTTTGGCACCGCTATTTTGAAAAAAAAATTGTGACGATCGAACAATCTCCCATAGCTTTCTGTGTCATATATTTAAATAAGCACCTTTTAATGACATCTATACATTGACTTACAATTAATCTATATTATAATATCTTTCGATATTTTTTATTTTAGCGAGTGTTAATTAGTACTTTTGTAAAGACATAACTCTGAAATAAAGTTTATTTTCCTTTATTATTTAAACAAGTTTATATTAAATAAATACTTTTAACCTTATGGAGTGTAAAATAGGTAATCGAAGAATGTCATAATTACATTTAACTAAATAGTAATAGACTGTGTTTAGTCTCGATTTTATACCACAGTATCGTAAAAAAAGTATAAAAAGAAACCCGATAACTTACTACAAAAATTTGTTATACTTACAAAATTAACCAATAACCTCACTTTCATAATAATTTCCCATTTAACTTGCAACAAATTAATTAGAAATGTGCCAATTGTTGCACAATAAAAAATTCCATTTTATTTGTAACAAACTAATTAGCAGCATGCAAATTGTTACACAACGAAAAAAACCGGCTCGTTAAAGTCATAACATATAAACCGACAATATGAATTAATTAATTCACAAATTACAAAGAAAATGTAAGCCACGTGGCCTTGTGCTATGCTCTGTTAACCACCCGTAGTTATTAATAACCAGTAATTATAAAGTTTGTAAACACTGCAGTTTTGAGTAATTTGCGATTGCACGTATATTAATGGTTAATTAGGAAACTAACGGAATTTTATGTGGGACACTTTTTTTAAACATTTGAAAAAATTTATATTTATATATTTTGAAGATTTAGATATAGAACGATGATTGACTAACTTCGAAATATGAATTTGAATTAAAAATCCTTGTTAGTGCATAAATATGTATAATAGAAAATGTATAGCGATCTTTAAACGGTTTACGAATAAATGCATGGGCAATACCAAAAACGGCCGTAAAAATATTATAAAGCAAAATTCATTACCAAACGATCGAATTAAAATAAAATTTACTCACTAAAAGTGACTTAACAACTAAAGACACTCAATTACAATTAAAAAATCCGTTTCAATTACAATTATGAAATGAATCACTATAATTTTTAAATGATATTATGTCACTTAAAAACAAAATAATAAACAAACACGTGGAAGACTGACCATTTTTGCGTGACAGCTGTGAGTGTTGTGGCTCGCTCGCCTCGACTGGGCTCGCTTTGAGGCTGCTACAATTTTTATAGCAACCTTCCACCAGTTTCACTTTCTACTTGGGCTGGTCGGACGTGGTCCACTTTTTTACGATAAAGCTGCACCTTTAAAGGTAAACAAAGAACACCCGTCTGAAGTTTTCCCCCACAACAACAAGTTAACCCCCAGGTTCGAAATCTTATAAATTGTAGGTTGGTAGGTTCGGTACATGAAAACTTTGGTGATCGCTTGTAATGGTATTTTCTACACAATGTTGCTAGGATTTGAGACTAGTACAAGTTGTATAAAGTTGACAAGTGTCTACAAAAAGTCTCTTTTCAACTTCAATAAAAACTTTTTTGACCTACTGACTTATAGACACGGTTTTTGTGGTCATAAATTATAATTTTTTTCCAGCAGCATCAATATATTATGTTATTTCTGCGTTTCCGTGAGTTAACTACAAAATATTATGGCGATGTGATTGAAATGATCGATGGAAGCCGATTTACTAGGAACACAGATGACCATACATAGCAAACTTTGTTTTATAATAATGCACTGTATAATAATAGCGAGATTTTTTAACCGGCTGCATCTATTATGTTATTTCTGTGTTTCCATGAGTTGCCTAGAAAATGTTATGGCGATGGTGATTCAAATAATTGATGGGAACCGATTCAAGAAGGCCCTGAATTACACAACACACTTTTGACATAAACATAAAAGTTTATGATAATACACTGCATAATAGCGAGTCATTAATTATTTTATCAATTTATCAGTGTAATCACCCTATTCATTCTTTTACGTAATAATTAATAACTGACTTCTTGTATTCAATAGCATCCCAAAGTGTATAAATTGACACGTTTAGCTTATGCAAATTTAAACTTTACGAAAAAGCTATTAAGTTGAATTTGAAAAGTAATGTTAACAGCTTGTATATAACAGCACATAGTCCTCAGTTGGTACAGCAGTCAAAAAACAGAACATATTAATTGATTGCCCTTGCTAAGGTACTCAATGACATTTGCGTCTTTTCCTCTGTGTCGCCGAAAAGGGAAGTGTTCACCTTCGGAACAACTTATTTTTAACTTATGATACTTTTATAACTTACATTAAACATAAGATACATTCTAGAATATTCTTCGTAATAATAAACGGTTGTAAGCCTTCCGTCCTGTTTTTGATATGAGAAATAATATTAAAAGTAATTACTTTTGTTAATTTTAGCCTATCCTTGTGTTATCCGATACTTAGTTCTTGTTAGAAATCTTTGTTGCATTTATAATTAATTTAATTAATGTTTTCCTTTTGTACATTGCATATTATTCTACGACGTGTAGAGGGTGTTTTATTTTGCATTTATAATTTGTTTAATCGCCACAAAATGAGCTCGGTCAATTCAGAAATGTTGTAACTAGTCTCTAGCGAATTTGTACCCTTTTTCGCTAAGTACTTCGTTATCATGGATACGATCACCGTTTATATAAGGGCGGACCTCTTTGTTACACGCTATACATCCGTAAAATTAATTATTACACGTATTGTACTAATTATAATGACGTTACTGTGTCAACCCAAGGCAGTCGACGCGGGAACCTACAAGTTTATTTAGTTATAATGATATGATATGTCTGAGTAATGAAGTAGTATGAATGAGTTCGGCCAGGGAAGTGCTGCCACCTTTTTTTATAATGTTAAGTGACAAGACGAACTAGTTATGCGTCTGGCTTAAAGCGACACGCCTGTCCATAACAGTTGTAATGTGAGCATTACTGCATTCCGGGTTTGAAGGGTAAGAGTACTGGTGAAATTACAGGTAAATGAGACTTGTCAACTTATGTCTCGGGAAGACCGCCGCAGTGGCAGTGTCCCTAAGATCTTTGCGATTTAAAGCTCTGTGTGGCACTGCAATTGCCATAGACAGGCATGTCGCGTACCACCAGGCGAACGAATTGTCCGTCCCGTTACTTGGTAACATAAAAAATAAGTTACCACCTTCGTTCAAAGCCTTTATAACTTAAGATATCGAAGATCATTTTTAATGAAGATCTTTTCATTTGGAAATCTGTAACATAGAATACAATCTTCAAATAAAAGAAATCAACAGCAAAGAGAATTGCCTAAATATATTGCATAAAAATCCCACAGAGAACAAAAATGTCTACTTCAATAGCACTCTGACGTAATCAGAACGTCGTTTAAAAGTGAAAAACATTAATTGCACTTTTCTGTCCGCTTTCTTCCCATTGAGGAGTGACAAAAGATGCGAGTGCGCATCGTCATGTACGCAATTTTACCTTACAAGTGATTTTTGATCGTTTGTAAACCGTGTCCGTGCGTGCGCAATTTGTGAAGTCATTTTTTAGCGTGTTTGCTTGACAATACGTTTATTGCAAGAACGGTCGCTGAATAGTATAATTTTAGATTCTTCTTTATGAAAAGAGTGGTTCCAGACAGACGACTTAAAATACAAATAAAAAGCATTTTCTCACAGCCTTTATTTGCTATTACTATAAATACTTAATATCGTTTTTGTACGTAGAAAATAAGACTTTCAACGAATCGTCGCTAAGGTGTACAGTTTATTGGCGCTATTTACTCACACTTGTATAAGTAATTGCTTCTCCAATTTTGTAGTAAATTTTGAAGGGAAAATGTCTCTACATGACTTAAAGTCCACCCGTCGTCACTGGTAATTTTGAATTACATTAGAGCCAAAGTTGATAACGTTTTATTAAAATTTTAAGAATTTTTAAATGAGCTTATGTAATGTGAAATATCTTTTGTAGAAAATGTCCTAAGAAAGTGTGGCTTGCTAAATTTAAAATATAAAACATCTTGCTTACTTTTGAAACTCAAACTCAAGTAATATTTATTTCATAGCGATAACTCCAATGAACACTTCGCCAACTTTATTTTTTGATCGTTTTCTCATATTTTTGTAAACAGCGATATTTATTTACTAATATTATCCTCCTCGGATTTTGATCGAGTACTACTTATTTGACAGTAATTGTTTCGGACGGAGAACGAGAGCACAGGTCCAGGTATCGACAGGTAAGCGAATTAAATTTGAAAAAGTAACATTGATCATAATCTACTACTCATACGTAAGGCAGGTTGCTCTTTGCAAATAAACATTTGTGTACATTTATCATTTACAATATTTAAGCTAAACTAAACGGGTCACTACCATGAACTTTTGTCATCCAAGTACGCAGAAGCTGTACCTTGTACAAAGAAATTGTTTCACTATTGTTTTTATTTTCGTGAATGGCGAAGTTTGAATATCAACCGAAAACTTATTATAGAAATCTCAAATGAATTTGTGATTTTAAGGACTATTCACATCAGACCGTGCCGGGCGCGAGCCGAGCCACGTACGAGGCTCGGATTGGAAATGCTGCGTACATTTTATATGAAGTGATTCACGTTACGACGTGCCGCGTCTGTGGCACGGACGAGGGACGCCCGAGCTGCTTCTGAGCTCATCCGAGCCTCAGTGTCAGAGAAACAGAGTCAGAGACTAATCTGAAGACTCTTTGACTCTGTTTAAGATGCTCGCGCCCGGCACGGTCTAATGTGAATAAGAATATGTAGTACGTCCGAGGCTCAGATGACTCGGACACGGCTCGCGCCCGGCACGGACCGATGTGAATCATCCTTTATGAAGACGACTGTCAAGAACAACCAGTTTAACAGACTTCGAAAAAGGAAGAGGTTCTCTATTCGGCTGTATTCTTTTTTGAACCGATTTATATGATTCTTTTTTTTTTGGAGAGGTACCCACGTCAGTAGTAAACTTATTCAAGTTTGATGAAAATGTTCCATCTCTTACGGTGGCAAATTAGGGGTTGAATCCGGTTTATTGGATTTCACTCACTTTGATTTTGAATTGATTCACTTTTGAATTTGGGAAATAGCTATAATTCGACAAAGTTTCGTGGTCGATTTTTTTTTATAAAAAAGTTATAATTACAATTATTCCTAGTACCAGTGTCATGTTTATCACAATTTTTCACAATTCAAAAACTATATTTTTTGAGAAGCTTTGCTTGTAGCTAAACTACTGTGTAATACGAAATACGATATTGCAAAAATTACGAAATGTTGTTTGTACAATTCATGTATCGTGCGTACGTGAACGTCGACGTTTCCGCGAGACGTTTGTTGAATAACAATTATGTTGTTAGGTGATCTCTTTCCAAGATATATTTCGTTTATAACTTGTACAGCTGCAAGTAATACCTTCATATTTGGTTTCTGCTTATTAGTTCCGGATTCGATTGATGTGAAATACGAACTTTGGTCTTTCATCTTTGGATTGTATCAGTTAAATTAAGGTTAAATTGTAAAAAATTAAGTCGAAAGACCAGAGAGAGAATATTGTGTTTTTTTTTGTATTTAACCGCTTTGCAGTTTGGGAATTGCATATTCTGAATTTGATGCGACTATTGCGCGTAGTAAAATCGTAATTTTCAAACTAATAAACAGCTTTCTAATCCGTATTAAGTGCGACTGCCGTCCTTATCATAACTAACGTAATCGACATTTTTAGCGAAATTGAACTTTTAACATAATCTGGAATCGTTTCTGAAGCGAGATCTACAAAGCCATTATAAGCGGTTTTTTTCGTATCTTATTTAGTTTCAGTTTTATTGTTGAGCAAAATAAGCGTAATTGACATTTTTTACTAGCAAAAAAAACTCAGATGCCAGTTTCTCGAAAGTTACCGTAATACAAATACGTTAGGTTATGGCATGATCAGACAGGCTGAGTGTCACTCCGATCTGGACAAGCATTTCGAACTCTCCAATATTAACTTTTTTTTTATAATATCAAGTGACGGGACGAACAAGTCGTGCGCCTAATGGTAAGCTACTCGGCTAGTCCATAACGGTTCTAGTGCCACTCACAGCTTTAAATCCACTGCGCTCGTCACCCCGACATATACTAACAAGTCCCATGTGCCTGTAATTTCACCAGTACCCTTACCTTTCAAAATCGGAACACAGTAATAACATTACTGCTTGGCGGCAGACATAAGTAAAGTGGCAAAGTACTTCCCTGAACGAACTCTTTCACAAGG